CGTTTTAGGCAGATCTGGTTAAATAAATTACAAACATTATGTCTGCTTATTTTTAGCATAATCCTTTCATATTCACAAATATTTTTCTGTGTATTACAATTTTTAATTGCAGCAATTCACAGCGCAAGTAAATTATAGATCAGAAATGATAAATAAAAGAATGTGCTATCTAATAAAACTTCAAGATTATATTGGTACTAATACTAGCAGTCTACATAACCAAGACAAGACCATCAAATATAATTGAAAACAGTGATTGTACCTATTCTGAATCCATCATAAAAATACAGGATGGGGAATTAGTAAATACTAAACACTTCAGATAACTTGATGTATAGATCAACTATAAGAAATTAAGTAGAGGAGGAAAAGAAAATGAATATAGAAAAGGTTGGGCTAAAAGTAGTCTCATTTGACACTGCAAATTGCTACAAAACTAAAACATCATCCTGAAAACAGAAGTCATGTTCTTAGACTGAAATTAATAATGGTTAGAAATGTTTAATTTAATAAAATTTTAATATGAAAGTCTCATCAGTGTTACATTGCCAAAGTTTGCATATGTGTGTATTTGTGTGTTTGCATGACATCACCCTCATCAATAAAGTTCCAAGAACCTACATTTTGGCATGGATGACTGCAAAACTTTAAGCTAGATGAAGTTAACCTTAGAGGTCAGTCAAGGGTCACAAGAGGTCATCAAAAGCATAGTATTCTATTTTTGTCCAAATGAAGCAATTTCAAAATCAACTGAAATATCAAGTTTCTAATGAAACTTTTTTCTCCCCCAAATAGTAGGGCAGATAAGTTCAGATTCAAGTCATTTAAGTAGAATTACTTTACAGTTTTTATGATTTGTGTTGTGGGCAAACAATTATATTCTTGAAGATAAACTGGTACATTGCAGTAAGAAGAAAAAAAGGATAGGTCATCAGTGGTCAAGGTGGGATCAAAATAACTTTTTTGCAGTCAAACAAAAATACTTCAAGAGCTAAAAACATTTTGTTTTTCAGAAAACATGCAATTCTGAAAAATGTTTCCCAGCAAAAATTTGAAATTAATTAGGATTAAATATCATTTTTGATTCAGCCATTTTAAATGCAAAAAATTTTTTTAAAAAAATGACCCCCCCTCTCACATGCCTTCAACTACAGAAACTACAAGTGGCTTTGTGAGTAAAGCATTCTTGCTCGAAAGAAGAACACAGTTGAAGAAATAAATTCAAAGCTTTTGCACAGATTCTGGAAAATTTTAGCTGTGCAAGTCAATTGACACAGTTCTGAACGCCTTGCAGGATGTTCAGAGCCTAATTAAGCTCCTTAACTCTCTTGAGTTGCCTGGTGATCCTCCTCACAAGCTTTAATTAAAATTGAAGATACTGATTATGCATCCCAGATCTCATGACTCTACAAAATTGTGAAAGTAAACCCACCTAGCTGTCAAGAGGCCTTTTCTACATATCATAGTGCAAAGAATTATGGTACTATTTAAACTGACTGGTCTGCCCGTAAAAAATAGGGAATATATTTTTTAAATAAATTTTGCAGATAAACATTCATTTGACCTCTCTTAAGCTACAATATTTGTTAGAATAAAAAAAAAATTCATTTTTTTTATTCTTTTAAAAGGAGGGTCCTATTCATAATATAAATACAGTATTAAATCAGTCCCTGACTTCTAAAGGAGTTATCTGGACTCTGTTTTTATTTATAAATGTCAAAGTTAGAAACTGTGTTTACATCATTGATAATGGCATACTATTGATATTGAACACTAAGGATCTGTAGTCTCCAATCTTTACCTGATATTGAAAATATATTAACAAACCTGCAATATTCTTAGTATTTCAGCTATAGTGCTAAAAGAAAAGCATACAAAATCTACAACAAAAAGAACAACAACAACAATGGTAATAAATTAGATAAAAATAGACATACAATATTACCTACCAACTCTTTAATATATACTATTCAAAATAATATACCCAATCTTAATAATATTGAAATAATCGCAACTGCATATAAAACTATTATGGATATGATCAGAACCAAAAATCTCTAGAAAAACAATTCAGACACAGGTATATATAAAATAAACTGTAACAGCCGTTCCTTACAATATATCTGTGAAACTTGCAGAAATTAAAAAAGAAGACAAAACATAAGATCTCCTATATAGTAATTTATCTAATGTATAAGTTTTACACAAATAATTTCAACCACAATCTCAAATGAAAAATGATGTACTTATTAAAAGAGAAAATAACTAACATGAAAAGTTCTTAAAAGTTGCCAAAATATTAATTTATACCTGAATTTTTTTCAACTAACTCTTTTCTCAGAAGAAATGCTTCTTTCTGAGGCCAACATAATTATGCATGAACATGAACATAAAAATTAAAAAATAAAAAATAAAAAGATAATGATTAATTCATGATTATTAAAAATTAATAAAATAAAAATCAACTCACTTTCTTTTAACAGGGCAAAAAATTGTCACTTATCATCCTCCACAATTTACTGTAAGTTTTAAGAATATTCCAAAAACTTATTGCATTAGTAAAGCTAAATTGTGACATAATTTTTTGGCCTGTTAAACAAAAGTGAATGTTGTTGAGGAGGGGGACAAAACGGAAACAGAACAGAGAGACAGAAACAATACAGGGGGAGAGAAAGAGAAATGAGATGGAATGGGGAGAGAGAGAGACGGAGATGGAACGGAGAGAGAGAGACGGAGACGGAACGGAGGGAGAGGGAGAGAGAGAGAGAGAGAGAGAACGGAGGGAGAGAGAGAGAGAGAGACGGAACGGAGGGAGAGAGTGAGAGAGACGGAACGGGGAGAGAGAGACGGAACGGGGAGAGAGAGAGAGAGAGAGAGAGACGGAACGGGAGAGAGAGAGACGAACGGGAGAGAGGGAGAGAGAGAGAGAGACGGAATGGGAGAGAGGGAGAGAGAGAGAGAGGAATGGGAGAGAGAGAGAGAGAGAGACGGAACGGGAGAGAGAGAGAGAGAGAGACGGAACGGGAGAGAGAGAGAGAGAGAGAGAGAGAGACGGAACGGGCGAGAGAGAGAGAGAGAGAGACGAGACGGGGTTAGAGAGAGAGAGAGAGAGAGAGACGGAACGGAGTGAGAGAGAGAGAGACGGAACGGAGGAGAGAGAGAGAGACGGAACGAGGAGAGAGAGAGAGACGGAACGGAGGAGAGAGAGACGGAACGGAGGAGAGAGAGAGAGACGGAACGGAGAGAGAGAGAGACGGAACGAACGGAGAGAGAGAGAGGAGGGAGAGAGAGAGGGAGAGAGAGATGGAACAGAGACGGAGAGAGAGAGACGGAACAGAGAGAGAGACAGAGACGGGACGGAGAGAGAGAGAGAGAGAGAGACGGACGGAGAGAGAGAGAGAGAGAGAGAGAGAGAGAGAGAGAGAGAGAGAGAGGGAGAGAGAGAGAGAGAGAGAGAGAGAGGGAGGAGAGAGAGAGAGAGAGAGAGAGAGAGGAGAGAGAGAGAGAGAGAGAGAGAGGACGGAGAGAGAGAGAGAGAGACAGAGACGGGACGGAGAGAGAGAGAGAGACAGAGACGGAGAGAGAGAGAGAGAGACAGAGACGGGACAGAGAGAGAGAGAGACGGGACGGAGAGACAGAGACGGGACGGAGAGAGAGAGACAGAGACGGGACGGAGAGAGAGAGACAGAGACGGGACGGAGAGAGAGAGACAGAGAGACGGGACGGAGAGAGAGAGACAGAGACGGGACGGAGAGAGAGAGATAGAGGAATCAGAGAGAGATAGGGGAGATATAGGTGGTGGCAGAGAAAGGGATAGAGGGAGATATCAAAAGCTGTGGAGAGAGAGGGAGAAATAAAGAAAGAGAGTAACGGGGGAGAAGAGAGGAAGGAGAGAAAAGGAAGGGTGAGGAGGGAGAGAAAGGGAAGGGTGGGGAGAGAGAGAAATATGTTATATCTATATATGTAACATATGCTACCATTGAGAGAAAAGTAAACAGAGATTACTCATTGTAGGCCATGCACCATCCCCATTTTGAAAATACTAGAGTAACATGATCCTCACCCCCCTCTCCTCAATCCTGCCTTGCATTTGATCCCAGTTAAATGTCAAAAGTATTAAAAAAGGTTCTCTTCAAAGTGAGATTTTAGAGGTTTATCACAAAAATCTGAAATTTCATAAAAACTATTTAAATTATTTAAAAAGATTAAGTACAAAAAAGTTGCAATTTGTTAAATAAATCAAAAATCTTAAAAGCTATGTGTGTCTAGGAAAATTACTAAAACACTTTTTGATTAATCAAATATAAATTACATAAATACATAGTGTACATCATTAGACTATCCACTGGTAAAATTGGAACAAGCATTTATTATTATCATTATTATTATTTAGGTGTTTGTTAAATGATTTTACAATTAATTTTTATTTGATTTATTTACTCAAGAGTATTATTATTGATGTTATGATTTTTGAAAATGTGTTATTTTACATTTATTTATTATTTTTATGAAATATGTAATGGGCCAAGACATTTTGCTTTTGTTTCTTGTAGTTAAAAAATGTGAAGAAACTTTTAAGAAACATTTCATGAAGCAAATTTGTTTTTTATTGTTAACAATGAAATTTGAGATATTTACGCAAAGAAAATGAATAAAAATAAAGGAGGAAGAGGTAGAGGAAGAAGAGAGAAAGAGAAGGGGAAGGAAAGAAAGAATAAGAAGAGAGAGGACAGGGGGAAAGAAAGAGTGGGAAGAGAGGAAAAGAAAGAGTGGGAAGAGAGAGGAAAAGAAAGAGTGGGAAGAGAGAGGAAAAGAAAGAGTCAGAAGAGAGAGGAGAGGGGGAGAAAGAGTCAGAAGAGAGAGGAGAGGGGGAGAAAGAGTCAGAAGAGAGAGGAGGGGAGGAAGAGTCAGAAGAGAGAGGAAAGGGGGAGGAGAGAGTCAGAAGAGAGAGGAAAGGGGGAGGAGAGAGTCAGAAGAGAGAGGAAAAAAGGAGGAGAGAGTCAGAAGAGAGAGGGAAAGGGGAGGAGAGAGTCAGAAGAGAGAGGAAAGGGGAGGAGAGAGTCAGAAGAAGAGGAAAAGGGGAAGAGAGTCAGAAGAGAGAGGGGGGAGGAGAGAGTCAGAAGAGAGAGGAAAGGGGAGGAGAGAGTCAGAAGAGAGAGGAAAGGGGGAGGAGAGAGAAGAAGAGAGGAGGAAAGGGGAGGAAAGAGGTGAAGAGAGAGAGGAAAGGGGAGGAAGAAAGAGTGGGAAGAGAGAGGAAAGGGGAAGAAAGAGTGGGAAGAGAGAGGAAAGGGGAGGGAAGAAAGAGAAGAGAGGAAAGGGAGGAAAGAAAGAGGGAAGAGAGGAGAGGGGAGGAAAGAAAGAGTGGGAAGAGAGAGGAGATGGGGCAGGAGATTGAGGAGACATGGAAGGAATGAGTGGGAAGAGACAGGAGAGGCAGAAGAAAAAAGTGTGGAAAAACTCATTAAACAATTGTGTATATGATAAAGACTTTTTGTTAAGAAAACGGATCATTGACATGTGTCCAGGAGGGCCCTCTGTCTCAATCTGAGATACATGAATATAAATGCATAAGACAAAAGAGAGAAATGTAGAACACTGCAGAGATAACAACATGATCAGGAGCGGCCAGGAGATCAACTCAGAAGAAAGGCAAAAGTATATATGATTGGAGGGAAATGGTCATCCACCGAGAACTGTGTGTTGACCAGACAAAAAGTATAATCAAAAACCACAATCTGTCTTAGAGAACTCAATAATAATACTTTTAATAGCAAATATTGCCTTTCAAAAGCTAAGCCAAGTATGAAGAAACAGGAAAATTTCATTTGAAACCAAGAAGAGTGGTGTAATATCAATTCTTGTATATGGTCATGAAGATTGGACAATTTCCTTACAGATGAAGAGGAAACTTGAGGCAACAGTGGTGTGGTTCAACAGAAGGATGCTGAGAATATCATAGATGAAACATGTGAGATACAGGGACAATCCAGGTTAGAAGCTGCATATTGGAGACATCAAATTCAAGCAAGTACAGAAATTTAACGATCTAGAAAATGTTACATTTAATTATCTCAGAAGTGTTTTATCAGACAGTGGAAAATGTGCCATCAAAATCCAAAGGTGTAGTGGAAGAGCAAGAGATGCCTTCCAAAAACTAAACTATGAAACAGGAAAATTTCCTTAGAAACAAAGAGAAGAAAAGATAACTTATGTAATATCAATATTTGTATATGGCTGTGAATGCTGGACAATTTCCTTACAGATGAAGAGGCAACAGAGATATGGTCCTACAGAAGGATACTGAGAATACACAGATGGAATATTTGAGCAATGAAGTAGTTTTAATGAAAATAGAAACAAAAAGACACCTCTGTTAGAGCTGCTCAGTAACCTTGACATATTCGGGAAAGACATTCGAATAATCAAGAATCTATACTGGCAGCAAACCCCCTGCATATGGACAAAAAATGAGTTCAGCAGATATACAAAAATAGAAAGGGGTGTAAGAGAAGGATCTATCTTCTCACCAGACTCATTCAACTTATACAGACAGGCAATTCTGAGAGAATTAAAATGATGACACAATGCTGACAGCAGACAGTGAAAGGAAACTGCCAAACATCCTACAAAAGGTAGCAAAGGAAAGCAAGAAGAAAGGACTAAGCATAACCCCCGAAAAGACAGAATGCATGGTTATCAGAAAAAGTATGAGTCCAAAATGCAAATTACAGGTTGGGGATACTAAAATTAAGCAGGTACAGATATTTTAATATCTGGGAATTGTTTTAACAGTGGATAGAAAGTGGGACATTGAAATGTGAAGACTTTTTGGGATGGTTGAGGATGCATATCAAAAGCTAGGCAGAGTATTGAGAGACAGAAAAGTTTTGTTGGAAACAGTACTGTAGTGTTATGTGATATCTGTCCTCTTGTATGGAAGCGAACATTAGACAATCTTCTCAAAGATGCAGAAGAGACTTGAAGCAAGAGAAATGTGGTTCTACAGAAAGATGCTGAGGATACCACAGATCAAACATGTGAGCAACGACGAGATTTTGGAGAGAATGGAAACAAAATGGAAACTTATACTTAAAATCAGGAAGAGGCAGTTGAAATTTCTGGGGCACGTAATGAGGAAGAAAGGCTTGGAAAATCTAATACCCACAGGACAGATAGAGGGAAAAAGGGAAAGAGAAAAGCAATGCATAACATACTTGAATTGAATGTAGAATGGGGCTTGAGAGAAATAACAAAAAAACAAAACTTATTAAGAGCTACAAAGGATCGGAAGTGGTGGAGGGCTATAATCGTCCTGAAAGGACAAGGTACATAAAAGTAGTAGTAGTACTTAGAATCATAAATAGTTGAAATTTTGGACAGTGAATTTTTTTTTTTTTCTTTAAGTTTGATGGATGGAGCAATCAAGGTAACTCAAGAGTCACATCTAGATACCTGGAAACACCTTTAATCAGAAACTGGCTGGGACACCTGACCTGATGGTATTTCTAACTGGGCTCCATATCCAAGATTATGTGCTGCTTTTAACAAAACCTGATGCCATATCATACAAATTTGGCTGTGATGAATGTGCGTGGTATACACTTATCTGAGTGGGTGTCCTGATGAGATTTGTATATTTATAACCAAGTATCACTTTGTTGCTATACTGCTCTCTCTCTCTCTCTCTCTCTCTCTCTCTCTTTCAATAATAATAATAATAATAGATGAAGTTGACAGTCATGCCAAACAAAATGAGTTTCAAAAGAATCTTGCAAGAAGATTGGAAGAAAAAGAAATTCTTATTGACATTCAGACTGTTGTCCATATCTCCAGCCTTCATCAGGTGTTTATCAGTCTGGTTAACCTACAGTTAATTCTGAACGGAACACTTTATTTAATCCACAGCAGTAGAAATTCATAGAAGACCTAAATCCAATCAGACAACAGCATTATTAGAATCAGCTGGAATACTGAGGAGACTTGCTGTCACTGGATCTTCAAAGTTACAAGAGACGACTGGGAAGAAGGCAGGAGGGTGAAAAATTCACTAAGTAAAAATTATTTTTCAGAATAACAAATTGTGTAATGTTGGTTCTCTATAACTTCCATTATACTAAAGTAAATTAATATCAACTGAACAAACATTTTGATGTAGTTCAAATTTTAAAAAGAATCTGAAATCTGGCATCTCAGTTTCAGTCACTTTCCCACCATCATAGAGAAACTTCCCTGTGCCTTTTCTATAAATAATTTGTTATGATTGGGGTTTCATTTTTAAATGTTGTTATTTTTACCCCAAGATGAATTGTATATATGGGAATTACTTAGGTCTATATAGAGACTTTGAGGTATTATGGTGACTGTAGTAAGAATGTGTTGCTTTCATGTAAGGAATACTGTGATATGTTTAGAGCCAAGTTTGAAATCCAGTCAGATCCATTAAATTCACTTACATGCTAATACCCTTGGGAAAGGTATGAATCCTCTTCTCCCTCCAGCTATAGGTAAATAGCAGGGCAGACCAGGTTCTTGGATGACAACTGGTCTACTGCAGAAAGAAATGGTAAGGAAAAATCTGCCTCATCAGTCATGTATCAAAAGATACATGATCGCCTAAGTGCGTATCACACATGGCACATAACTGACCGACTAGATTGGCAGCAAAAACTAATCATTCTAAAGCTGAAATGGCTAGATGGAACCATAAGTTCTATGCTAACATTTTATTCCCTTGTATGTGTCTCAACTTCTTGCTTCTCAGTCAAAAATTTAAATGCAATATCAATCGTTACCTTTTGTCTTCTTAATTCCTGTTCTTTTATTGTTCTCTTTCCTTAATAATATTTTTTATATTCTCTCACACTCTGTAACTAAGTATAAAACCACAGGTAGGCTCTGCAGAGCTTGAACAAGTGCAAGTGTGCCTGAGCAGAATTCTGCAATAGGGATTGGCTAGCCGCCCTAGTAGACAGACATTCTCAGATTCAAGTGGCCAGCCAATACAGGGGGATGCAAAACTAATGAAAAAACAAAACATGCACACAAAACATATTGTATTGATTATAATAACATATCAATCCTTCAAATGTTCACACACACACACACACACACACACACACACACACACACACACACACACATTAGTTGCTTTATTATCTTGCTTGAGGTAAAATGATTAAAAAAAAAATCTGCTCAGGCAAGTGACACTATGCTAACTTCTTCCTGCTTGAACAGAATGATAAAACTAACTTGCACAGATACTACACTGATCTTAGGCAGAAGAGCTGATCCATATGTGCATTCCTTTATTTTTGATGGGTACTATGCAAGTAATAATAATAATAGCATTAAGAGCAATCTCTCCTGTTTATCTCTGTGTCTCCTATTTTACCAAAAACAGGAAATTTATCATTTTTTAATTATGATTTGAGTCTCTTTCCATTTTAAAAATAATTCACAAAGTGCTGTTGCAAACTAGAAATAACTTGGGTTTACATTCTAGATTTTTTCTTTCACAGTTCAAGATACAGGAAGCCATTATAGACAACGGTAAATTAGAGTTTATTATAGAGAATTTGAAACTTAATTGAGAGATGCATAAGAAGATTGAATGTCCAAAGTTGAATGAAGAATAAAAAAATTTTGAAGTAAAAAAAAAAATTTTTAAATCATTGAGAAATTAAAATAGTAAAAAACGATTTTCAGTAAAAGCAAAAAAATGTTTAGATTCAGAGGAAAGAATTCAAAATAAAAAAGAAGAAAGAAGAGAAAATACAAAAGAGAGAGAGAAGGATATATATGAGAGAGAGAGAAGGATATATATGAGAAAGAGAGAGAAACTGTAAGAATGGAGAAAATGTGATCCCATTTGAGGGTAAACTCAAAGTGAGAGAAAATGGGTTAGTCACATGAAGAGAAATAGCAGGGTTGAAGGAGAATGGAGAAAGTAAGAGAGTGAGGAATTCAGAGAGTGGGTAGTATAGAGAGGAGGAGAGGGGATGAGGAAGACGAGAAGAGGGAAAGGAAGCAAAGAGACGAGAAGGGGGAAAGGAAGCAAAGAGACGAGAAGAGGGAAAGGAAGCAAAGAGACGAGAAGGGAGAAAGGAAGCAAAGAGACGAGAAGGGGGAAAGGAAGCAAAGAGAGAGAAGAAGGGGAAAGGAAGCAAAGAGACGAGAAGAGGGAAAGGGAAGCAAAAGAGACGAGAAGAGGGAAAGGAAGCAAAGAGACGAGAAGAGGGAAAGGAAGCAAAGAGACGAGAAGAGGGAAAGGAAGCAAAGAGACGAGAAGAGGGAAAGGAAGCAAAGAGACGAGAAGAGGGAAAGGAAGCAAAGAGACGAGAAGAGGGAAAGGAAGCAAAGAGACGAGAAGGGGGAAAGGAAGCAAAGAGACGAGAAGAGGGAAAGGAAGCAAAGAGACGAGAAGGGGGAAAGGAAGCAAAGAGACGAGAAGGGGGAAAGGAAG